AAAATGGCAGTGCATCCTTTTCACTGTGAGGTTATGTCGGCGTTTGGTCAGTGGAGGGTCCAGGCAGTTCCAGTTTCGCTTTCAATAGTTCCGTTGGTAGCGTGCTTCAGGGTTTGCACAATGAACAACATTCCACGTAGTGCATTCATCATTTAATTTCCTCGTGTCTCGAGCCTTGGACAGCCTTTTTCCAAAAGCTTTCACAGGGTCATTGATGAAGACCATCAAGCTGCACAATGCCGCAATATCTGCGCTGACGCTTACCTCTGATGCATCAACACTGGCCGTCCTGGCATGGTTTCGCCAAACCAAGACACACCAGCTGGCCTCAACTGGCCAGGTGACAGCATCACATGACAAAACCTCCAAAGCTGCACTGGCCCTGGTGTGACAGCGCGATCTTCTTGCAAGAAATGGTCAAGATTTGAAACTCTTCAGTCTTCAGAGTTTCATTTCTCTTTGGATTCCTGTTCAGGGCTTGAGATTGAGCAATTCGTATTTCCAAGTTTCTGCACTGAGGTAGATGTTTCACAGGCTGCTACAGAAACACTTGCGACATTTGAGGCAAGGAACTCATAGCTGAACAAACAAGAACATCCGGGGTGCAAATTTCGATCTCACCCTTCAGTGGGCCTGCTTGTAGCAAGTCTCATGGTCATTTTTGAAGCTTTCATTGCTTTAAAACGTTCTCCAGTTGAATCGCCCGCTGAATGCTGTGGCAGCATCGGGCTCAGCAGAGTTGGAATCTTGCCTCACCAATCACCAATATAATATACTATACTGGCTATCTACTATCCTGTACAGTATTCTGTTTGGTTCTGCTTTGAGGTGACGGAGGACTTTGTAGCCCAGAAAAGTGGGGCGGTGGTGCTTGCGGGTGGCAAGGACTGATGGAGAGTGTGGGACTTCCAAGACGTGCTGGAACTCGACACACATGCCGTTGGACACATGCCGTCCAAGCTTCGCAAGCACAACGAATACACAACTGGAAGTAGGACGCTCGCGATGTGACCCGTGCCAAAGATATGCAAGATGATGAGTTTGAAGCGAAGGCCAAGAAGAGTTTGATTGCAAAGTGCGATTTGAACAGTTTCATTTGTAGGTGATTGACCCCTCCGGACAGATTTTGGCCGACGAGACCTTAGTTTTTCATTCTTTTCAAGCACATGAACAAATATGTACTCACGTAGGGCCTGTTCATGCTTGTTGCGTCAGTGTCCCAGTCCTCCAGCACGTCTAAAGCGCACCAACGATGGCCTCCAACCTACTAGCGATGGCCTCCAACCTAATAGCGATGGCCTCCAACGTTGGATCCTTGATTGGATGGAAGACACATTAGCATCAACTTTTGCGGGGAATTGAAGGGCAAAGTAGCAGAGTAGTTCAGGCTGGCATTGGTCATTTTGGCCCTGTGCATGGCCTCCTGTCTTTGCCAAGGTGCCATTGGTTTGATAGTTGAAGATGTTTCTGCATTTTGAGCGACTTAGTTTGTTTATATATACTGTTATCACTAGCGTCTTCACTGCGAATATATCACTAGGTTCAGGTCCAAAGGTGCAATAATATCACTGTAGGCCTACATATTTTGTTGGCTACTAGGGGCTCCTGGCCTTACTACTAGGAGCAAGGACGCTACTTTGGGGCTCCTTATAGGCCTGCCAATATCCCTATCATTATCCATCCAAGTCTCCTTCTTCGCTTGGCTACGAAGGTCACTAAACCACCTGCCCTGGCAGAAACCTCACCTGTTTATGTGGGAAGCTACCCACTTGGAAAGCTCCAAGTTCCGGGGCTCCGCATCTACAATGAGCCGTGTTTATTCAGTACAGAAAATGTGACGCAGGTTGTTTGTAGCTTTGCTTTCTTCCTTCCAGGCTCGATTCTTTAGATCTATACGAAATACACTTTGTAGATATCATTTGCGTGGAAAGTCCCTTCAATGTGGGAGTTGCCGACCCCAGGCTGAGCACCTGCGCTTGCTTTTGTTCATGTTTTGACGGCGCCTATAGTACTATATAGTAGAGCCAAACGTTTACCTGAAGGCTCAACCCTCAAGACAGCTCAAATGATGGTGTAAAAGTCTAAAGGACATTAAAGCAATTCCGAAGAAAGAAGACTGTTGCTGTGGCTCTCTGTGCTCCTAGTGACAATATGTGCAAGTCAGCATTGTATACGGATACGACCGATACGTGCCTCTAAGACCGGCTGTGACCAGGATTGGGGCTGGTGGTGCTTTTGCCACAGTCTCTGAGGACAGATGGGTCAATTGGTATGCTCCACGAAGCCCTTTATGGCCCTCTTGCACACGACTTCAGAGATGATTCGCGAGCACCCAGAAAAAATGTTCCTTGTGTTCTTGATTTACCCCGCACGGGCAATTGCAATTGCAAGTATGGGTGTGACTTGCTTGATTTGTTCAAAAGAGTAGCTGCCGCGTAGCTGCCTTCAGGATGGCTGCCTCAAGGTCCATGGCCTCGACGGGAGTCTCCTCCACAGCGATACGCTGCCAGGGCCTTACGAATACAACATGCGGATTTGCTCAAAGAAAGGGACATCGAGTCATGCTGAGAAGATGCTCTTTCAAGGTTAAATGGTTTACAGGGTTTGCACACTGGAAAGGAGTTTCATGTGCCAAGGTCATAATGGTCTGAGGCTTGTTCGTTTGTCCGTGGTAAGACTGTGATTGAACGCAGTTTGCCGATGCTCAACTGGTTCAACATGTGTAGAAATAATTCGCTGATTCCATTGCTTCTTGACATCGGGCAAATCTGGTGTGATGGCAGCAACAGCTGGACAGCGACAAGCGCTTGTTGTTGTGCTGACCCGTTTGTTCTCCACAGACGCTTTCCCTTTCGGAGAGTGAAAGAGTGAAAGCTCCGTGCGAAGTGAACCGTGTGTCCTCCCCCCAAGACAATGTCGCTGACCAAGTAGAGGCACGTGCTCGAATGCTTCTATGAAACACGCTTTTGCCCCAACGTTTGAATTGAAGCAACTGTGGATTTCTGCACAGACATTTTTTTCAGGTACTCTCCGAAGGTGAAGATATGCAGCAGCTGGCCGATCAAGTCGGGGCCCAGCTTGCTGAAATTTGCTCCTTTGCGCTTTCGCTTTTGTGCTTGAACTGAAACAGCCACAGTGTTCGGGTCGGCACACACTCCCATAATGTTGATATCAGCCTTCCTCCGGAGGCCAAAGCAGGGCTATGTCCCATCGATGTAGATTCTGACAGTTGTGGTCTTTGCCAATTGCTGCTGCCATTTGATTCAAGCACCTGACTTGCAGACTGGAGGGATGGCTAGCAGAGGTCTTGGTGGAAAACTGCTTTAAGGAGCAAACATTGTGAAAGCGAGACGGCTAAACTCAGGACTTTCCGTTGCTTGTTGCTGGCCGTTCTGTTGCTTCATGCCAAGGCCATGCGCTGCCGCCGTCCCCCCTGCTCTCCCCAGGGCGGCAACTATGTGGCGTTTCGCCAAGTAGAAATCTTGGATTTTGGATCAGGAAGGAGTCAACCAGCTAAGTATGAGGAGATTCGAGGCACATAACTGTTGCTGAAGACACATGCCAAAGATTCGATCCCCCGCTATTCGGACACACCTGAGGTCCATTGATGACATCGCGAGGGGTGATCCAGACATGTGACGCACACATGTAATGACGAAGCTGGTCCTTTGCTTCCACAAATTCAGACTGCCAGGAAGTTCAGCCCATACCTTCCCCCAAGCCGCGCCCCCAGCTTTGAACCAACCAGAATCAGTTCCAGTAGAGTTTAGACGCAACCGTCAGGGCTGCACGAAAGCGATTCCATCCAAACAGCAGGTAGCATCAAAGGGAGAGAAGCACACTTGGACGACTTCCCCCCCCAAATCTCAGCAATGTATAATAACTTATGCACACTATGGCAAACTCACTCTTGGATTCGACAACCGAAGGAATGATAGGGGCGGTCAAGGCAGCCAAAGGACATCCAAGGAATGTTCGGGAGTTGCGTCAACCCCCTTGGGACGTGTAAGGGTTTTCCTAATGCCAACGCACTGCTTGGCGGCCTGGTTAGCCACCTTTCTGCGCAATGACGCAAAGCCCCGCCAAGCCCTTCGGGGGCACACATAAGCACTACGCAAGGACCAGTGCACCTACTACGAACAGTTTCATGAGAGAGGTAGTCTGACATTTGATTAGAGCATTGCAATTGAGGCTTTATGCTCGCCACACAAAATCAACGTCTGACTTGGGCCAGGCCGTGTTTGTCCAAGTTGTTGCATGGAATCTAAAAAACTAAATTATTGAATAAACCGAATAAGATCAAAGAAGTCCGGAACCAGTTCCGGAACCAACGCAAGAGCTGGTCAAATTCCTTCTGCGTTAGTTTTTTGACATCAGGTACCCACAGAGCATTGTGTAGATGACCGACCGGAGTCTACCTTCTCCACGTCTCACATCACTTTTTGACAAGCCTCTCTATGATCAGGGAGCCTATGCCGACCCTCGGATGCGAACTCCGGTTGGGGCTTAGCGCTGTTCGATTGCCTTTTGGACAAGCAACCCTCTTGCTTTGCTGAATCTGAGGTTCCTGTTGGTCAAGGACTCAGATGGGTGCAGAGAGTCTTTGCTTCCTTTGAATTGCACGGAATGGATCAGTTGATTAGTTCACATCTATCGTTTGAGATGCCTTCTCCCCTCCTGGAAGATATTTAATCGTCCATAACTGCCCCATTGTGGATTACCCCTCATGTTTGACAGTGCACGACCTGTGAAGAGTTGTTTGTGGCTTGATATAATTGACATAGCTGCTAGCTTCAACTGCTGCCTTCGGCCTATTGCTGCAAATAGATCTGACTCACGGTGATACAAAATGTGCTTCCGGGACCCTCACAAAACGTCGCCTGTTTGTTTTATAGGCACACCTCCCCACCCTAGTAGCGTCCTTATATAAAATGTATTCAGAACGTGGGGAATTGAATCCTAGGTCAGCCCGGCGGTTTCACACTTGGAATTGAGGTGGCATGTCAGTGACGATCCTTCCACAGGCACTGGCTTCACATATGGAAGCTGTTGCGTAGCCTAGTCTGCCAAAGTTGTAGCACGGCCTAGTCATAGTCTCCCAGGCACGAGCATACAGCCCATTGGCCAATCGAGGCAATTTCGGGAAGCCTGGGTTTAATTTGACCTTGCCATCACTGGTAGATTGACCGTGTCTTGTCTACATTACTTCTGCTTTGTGCTCCTCATGGCATATTATGGCATATTGTGACAGTGAGGCAGTCCTGCGCCGGCGTCACCTCATGGAGGAATGGCGCAAAGGGAAACATTTTTCACGTTCCCTGCGCAATATATGACTCCGGCATGGTCAAAGTTGCATTCGCGAGACAGGACATTTTCGCAGCATTCTGCCCAGCCGGCATTGGCCTCACAAGTAATTGTCATAGGAAGTTCTTGGAGGTGAGTTTTGCTGAGGCCGGTGGTTCAGGTGTCCCGATCTCCTTCGCCTACTCTGGGTCCAGGTGTGGCACAATCACGGCGGGCTGCATCAGAAACAAGAAGGACGAGGACAATTGCACCACCAGTAGCTACTTGTTCTCATCCTATTCTTGTTGGAAGACAAACTTAGACTGAAGTAATTGCCCTGCTATTCAATGACGGTGCAGGTCGGACATCACCCATGATGGTCTGGAGACAGGATCGACTCATGTCAGTCACTTTCAGTTCAGTTTACTGTGTGTTCTTTCAATGCAGGCAGCCACTGCAGCAGCTCCAGCTGGTCCAGCTGGATGTAGCCAGGTCTGTTGACCAGCCTTCTTTGATTGACCGAAACTAGAGGTGGACAAGGTTTGGTTCAGGTTCAAAGACAACGCATGGCCACCTACAATTAGTCTTGAAAGCGCATGTACTTGGCTTGACATTAACCTAGAAACAAGTGCATCGCTACTAGTAACAAGTGCCTTACTAGTAGTGACAAGAAGCTATTAGAAACAAGTGCATCGCTACTAGTAAGAAGTGCCTTTCTAGTAGTAACAAGAAACCATTAGAAACAAGTGCATCGCCACTAGTAACAAGTGCCTTACTAGTAGTAACAAGAAGCTATTAGAAACAAGTGCATCGCTACTAGTAAGAAGTGCCTTTCTAGTAGTAACAAGAAGCCATTAGAAACAAGTGCATCGCCACTAGTAACAAGTGCCTTACTAGTAGTAACAAGAAGCTAGTAGAAACAAGTGCACCGCTACTAGTAACAAGTGCCTTACTAGTAGTAACAAGAAGCTACTAGTTGATTTAACTTTAGTTTAATTCTAAAAGCTTTTTGTTACTACTAGTAAGGCACTTGTTACTAGTAGCGATGCACTTGTTTCTAATAGCTTAGTAAGGCACTTGTTGCTACTAGCGAACCTTGAATCCTTTTTGGTGAACATGTGCATTTTTGAGGCACGGTCGCCACCCAGAACCAGAACGCTCGTAGGGGCCTCGGCGAATGTCCTGCATTCGGTGGAACACCATGCACTTCAGGATTGTACTGTTCCTGGCTTCACCGACTCAACCTGTGCTTTTTCTTTTCCACCGTGTGAGGTACACAGTGGAATTCCTTTTAGAGGCGGACTTTTGAGCTGTCGATGATTCGGACTTGCTGTGTCAAACATCGCCTCAATGGAGGGCCTTGCACTGGAGCGCAAGTGGCACCCCAGCCTTGGGCGTTGCGAGATGCGCCGAGTCCGGAAGCCCAAGATGAAGGTCGAACAGGTGCTGGAACGGGAGTAAACCTGTGGCAAACCACGGGGTCCGTCCCAAGTTGACGGTTGACAGTAGGTGCTGGAGCTTGGCAAGGCAGCTTGACAAGCAGAGTGGCTGGCTTCTTAGATAGGGTGACGCGACAAATTCTAGAAGTTTGTCCGGGTTTGCTCGTGACAGGTCAAGGCTGAGAATGTACCACAGCCTCAAGCCAAGTCGGCGATGCTGGTTTCCGAGCTTTCGCCCGCATGGCACAGAAATATGGTGCAGAGAAAAAGAAAAAGCCCCCCACTCCCTTCTTACACCAAGCAGCCAATACGGAGCTGAGTATGGGTGAGACAACCTTACAGTACACATTTCAGCCTTGCCTAGGTCACCTATGCGGACAGCCAGTGGCCCGGATGGGATTACCAAGGCACCAGCAGAGCACTCAAATATTCCAGTTATAATCCCTACTCAATGCTGAGGCTCGCAAACTGTCGCCAAAGAGCGGCCACGCAATGTCACAGGAGGTGGGGTTGGTTTGGTGTCGGTTACAGTATATAGTTCCGCTGCTTTTGCAGTTCAACTTTCTCATCTAAGATTTCAACAGTGCATTTTTGACCTTTCGACACGAGTTCCAGTGAATTAGCTGCACGACGGCAGCTGTTAGATCACAATCCCTGCATCATTCTCGCTCTCTCTCTCTCTCTCGCTATACATCGAACAGGACGAGAATGGCATTGTTTCCTTGTCGGGTTTATTTTTGTAACTTCCTTTGGCCTCAAGAAGTCCTTGTTGTTTCCAACAGAGTTGGGAGTGCTGGGGGCTAGCAGTAGCTAAACTTGCAAGTTTCCCCCCAAATCTAGGAACCAAATGATTAGTGCGAGCGTGAGCTATCCTGTCTCCAGCTACTAGAAGCTGAAGTAGCTATGGGCGACCTACTCCCTTACTTAATTAATAGTTATATAAGTAAGGAGGCAGGGCCACAGGGCCACGCTCTAAGCAGTGTCTGAGGTGCTCCGCCCACCGGTTCCAGCACCAGCGCTGTCTTTGACCTTACCACCAGATGGCAGGGACCCTCACTCGTGTTCACTGAACGTATATGTATACAGAAATCAGAAAAGTCAACGGGCAATGATGACTCGAATAAACTCGTTGGCTGAGCCAACTTTTTCTGCTGACAAACATTCACTGAGCCAATGAATCAGCTCTGAGACATGCTTGACCTGTGATCCAAAGTCGCTTGTGCTGAGTAAGTTGAGACATTGGTCGATGATGTCGAAATACAAACTCGTTGGCTAAGCCAACCTCTTGCTGACAAGCAATCAACTGAGCCGCAGCATCAGCAGTGGCGTGTGCTTGGGCAAGACTTGAACTTATGTTGGGCCAAAAGCATAGCATGCCTGCGAGTCAATTTTGGCAGTGAAATTCTTGACTGGCATGTGAGCTTGTGTGTCAATCGTGAGACCACCCAACCAATGGGTTTAAGTCAGCATAATCTAATGCACACCATATGAAGTCATGTAATGTAGATGAGTTCGTTGCATGGGGCAATGATGATTGAACATAAACTCGTTGGCTGAGCCAACCTCTTTGCTGATAACTCATTCCTGAGCCACTGGATTGCTCGTTGGATGTGTTGTTCTTGCCAGGATGCTCATTTTTGTCACGGTGGTTGAAGTTGTGGCCTGCATATTGGCAAGTGATATCCATTGATGACCTTGATGCTAGCCTGATGATTGTTTGCTACGCTATGCTCAGGCTTGATAATGGTATCTCTGAGTAAAGCTGCTTTCTTCCAAGTGGTGGTGAGACCTGCAGGAGTTGGAACACATTTCCAACACAGACTGCCACACCTCCATGCTGCTCTGTATATGTGACTCTTGACTCGGAGGATTTGCAAACAGCAGACGACAGAGCAAACAAGCTGTGCAAGAGACTTGGGCCGTGCACGGCCTTTAGGTCGAGAAGCGCGGGTGGCTCATGTTCGCGAGTCCCTGCTCAAGTGTGCAGCCGAGGTAAAGACTTGCTGCACACCTGTCATATGCGCATCCATAACATGTCACTGACTTTAGGGGTTTTGAGCTGGTTTTTGCACAAAGGCACATACATTGTGTTCAGCAAGAGATTGCTCGGCTGCAAGATGAGCGGCATAAATTGCAGCTTGGAAGGACTTCAGAGACATGACACGCTTCTTCCTCTTTACGATCGCTGATGTCCAAACAGCAAGATAAGAGGACGCTACTAGGAGCAAGGACGCTACTAGGGGCTCCAGGCATTTTAAGAAGATTGCTGTGGTTCAGTAAGCAATGTTGCCAAGGCCCTGTGCAGCAGCCCAGGTGCGACACTTGTTGTGGTACTGTGTTGAAAGGTGGCCCCTGAACTGCCAGGTGCAGGGCAGAGCTCAAGAAGAGGAAGAAGCTGTATGCAGGCGTGGCTTGTAGTGCTTCTAGAAATTTCAGAACTATAAGCCCCTAGTAGCTAGGCCAGGAGCCCCTAGTAGCGTTCTTGTTCCTAGTAGCTCCAGAGAGGTGGGCACACTTCACACCTGAAAAGCGCTGCATCAAAAAAGTATCCGCTTGTGACGAACCCAGTGCTACGAGGTTGCAGCACTGGTGGCGCTCGAAGAGAAAAGCAAAAGAAGGACTGTGAGGGCTTGTCTTGACAAACCCAGCTGTGATTGTAATATGTAATAATGTGTAGTGGTATGTTACTATGTTGCTTCCACTTTGTTTCCACTTTATTCGTTTCCAGCCTAAGTCCTTTTTTCCTCTTATATAAATATAGAATGGAACTTGATGCGAGCGCTTTCGACCTCCTTCCTCCACCAGGCTCGCGCAGATTGTCCAAGAAGATTGGTGAAAACGGTTCCACCGTGCACCTTGCCCGCAGATTTTTGTCTTCTCAAGCACTTCTTTTTGAGATCCTTTAAACTGTTGACTTTTTTCTACTTACTTATTATTGCTATTTCTAATGCTTCTATTCTTGTTCTTTGGGGGGTAGGCCCTAGTACGGAGTAGCTCTACCTAGGACGCAGGCTTCTTTAAGGAAGCTCCCCCGCCTGAGGGTGGGGCGAAGCCTCCTTGAAGAAGCAACAGCCTTAATGATTTTGTTACTTGTTTTTTTTGGTAATCGTGTATTATTTCTTTTCATCACAAGATTTGAGCTTGGCACTGTTCTTTCTACACACCTCAGGCTGCGGCCCCGACACTTTGCAGCTGCCAGCAGCCTTAGCACTGAGCACTGAATTTTAGCTTGTTTTCGGATGTGCTTAAAGGGCTTAGGATGCAAATGCAAGTGACATTGCAACTTCATCAAAGGCACGAATTCAAAGATGGTTTCGGATCTACAGATGGCGGAGAAGGACAAGTCCAAGGGAGTTAAGGATGTCTTCGTGCTGGAGTTGGCTAAAGTCATTTAGCACTGAAACTTGACCTTTAAGCGAACTCAAGTTCGCAGGTTTGTCGAAGTCTCTGTTCAGCAGATCGGATGGTTGGGATCATTGGCGTGGCTGCAGGACCAGAGTTTACAGACTGTTTTGCTGAAGGATGGTGCTTAGTTGGTCGTTCTTTTGCGCATGATCACTTGAAGGAGGAAAAGCGCCTGTATGGCACGGAGCTGGCAGACAGCGAAGATGTCAGGCCATCACCCTTTTGGTGATCGAAGAGCAACCCCTCAAAAAGGCAGTGAAATCCACACAGGTGGTGGTCAGAGCAGCGCGCGGCTGCTCCTTTGGACCGGGAGGCCTCCAAGCCGAGTCGACATCAAACTCACAGAGATTTCGTTATAGCACCTAGAAGCGATGGCCTCCAACCTAAGAGCCACAGTTCCACAGTTCCGCAAGCCCTATTCAACTTGTTCATTTTTGAGAGAAGTTTTTACGGCCTCCTCGTAATCCAATCCTCTTCTTCACTGTAAAGCTAAAACAGTCAAAGCTCGTATTTCAGAGAACCTACCCATCCCTACCGCATTGATCTTCTTTGAACTGGGTATTATTTGCCTTGCCAGGTTGATCCGTGGGGTGCACTCAAATTGTCCAGCGCTTACTGGTTCGTGCCATTCATTCCAAGCATGCTCTCAAGTGGTGTTTGTTTGTGCGCAGGTCTTGCAGGTCCTGCAGGTGTTTGAACCAAAAGAAGGAAGGAACAAAGGAGGGATTTGGGCCCCTTTGATAAGGCCTTAGTGCAAATTGTTAGTTAAGTTGCCCTAAACATCTAGAAACCAAATCATTAGTGCGAGCGTGAGCTATCCTGCGTCCTAAGTAGTAGCTACCAAGCTACCAGCTACTTAAGCTACTAGCTACCTAGCTACTACTACCTACCTCACCTCCTAACGGCCTACCCCCCCTCCCACGGGCAACGGGCTAATAGTAATCCTTCCTTTTTTCATCTCTAGGCGCGAACATCTCGACAAGATGTGGTATGGGCACACGAACGAGAACATCGCTGAGGACCAAAGAATCAGATGGTAGAAATATCTTTTTCGGACAGCTATATACAGCGGATTACACAGCTTCACAGCTTGATTGTGGCGGTTCACATGGAAGGAAGAAGAGCTGTTGCTGCTGCGCCATCATCAACAGAAGTGGCTTTTTTGCACTAGCACGCTGTGCACACCACTCCAAACCGCAGGTTTTTTGAGTGACCAGCAGAGGTGCATCACACCACATATCTGATTTTGCCGAGTTGTTTATCGTGGACCAAGGATGCAGCGGAAGCAAAAGCCTCGCTTGCAGCAGCCTTCCCGGGCCCAGCCAAAGCTTCAGAAACAAACTGTGCGAGATTCTCAGCTGAGCAGCTAAGCTTGAATTCAACACAGCGATAGGCAGATGCCAGAAAGACATCAGAGAAACATGTGATATGGAGTTTTCACAATGGAGTGTGGCAGACTTGTTTTAGGTGGCAAATCTCGTCTCGGCAGAACCTCCATGTCCGAGCACCTGAGAGTTTTGGGTACAGCTGCATCCGAAGAAAATGTGCTGACAAAGTTTGCTCAAGAAAGTTAGATGAGAGTTTTCAGTTCCAATGTAGTCTCTTGCTGCTCAGGCTGCTCAGGCTGTGTCTCTGGAGCGGGAGCCTCAAGAATCGCTTGAAATGATACGATGCAAATTAATTCAAAGAGAACTGTACTATACAGTGTATATATATATATATACAGTAACTCGGAGTTGACAAAAGTTGTTTTGCTGTCAAAATCCACTCTGCAAGAGCGATTCTGGGTTTCTGGCCAAGCCTCCAGCAACCAGTATGTTGGAAAAGGCTATGGTCTGAGCAACCCGTCAAAGCTAGCTGCCAGACCTCATATTGGCAGGGCACCTGTCGCCAAATCGCGGCCTGTTGGTGCAGTTTGCCTGGCTTGTTTTCATTGCACGAACCTTCTACACACGTCTCTACAGCTGGATTTCATATGGCATGCTCACTGTTGAGTTCGAAGAACCCTTCAAAATTCAAAGGCCCGTGTTTCCCACAGAACATTAGGACGAAGGATACCTTTTTCATATCATGAGAAACATATGCGATACACGGTTGTCACATCCTATAATCAAAACATTGCGCAAGGTCAGAGTTCCAAGGGTTGCCAAAGGTTGACACTGGACACCTCTGAACTCTCAATAGCCAGGAATTGTCCTCCGTGAGAGTCACTCAGAGAGGGTTCTTGCCTGAGGGTGCTGGGTTGAGAAGAATGGAAGACTGTTTGCTTGTGCATGGGCAAAACCCCTGCTGGTCTGACTTTCCCGCGACGGGAAACGGTTTTGATTTGACAGCCTATGGCCCAGGTTGTCGGCAACGATACCAAAAAACTGCAAATCGTCATCACTTTCACCGCGATTCGATGTGAGAATTGCCCGTTCCTCGGAAGTGCAGGTGGAGTGGTCTGAGAAAAGGAATGAACAAATTTGCCCAAAGTAACTGCAACTTCACGTAACTCTTCCGAGGCAAAGCACACCCCTGGTCTTTTGCTCAGCCGACATGGAGTGAACATCCGGGAGTGTAGTTTCTGACTGAGCTGAGGTCTTGTGCGGAATGGCATCCCGCCACGGGCTGCTTGACAGAAACTGGACGGTGGGACGGAACAGTCACTGTAGTTGTCACAAGGAAAATCTGATGTCTCAAATGTTGTGAGAATTGAGACATATTGAGACCATTTCTTGGAACTTGTCGCCGAGCCAAAGGGGTGGCATTTCTCGTTCAAAAGACAACCTGGTTTTCAAATAACGAGTCCAGACTAGCCCAAGCTGCTGCGCATTCCTGCAACTCAGGCTCCGGCCCCGGGCTCAACGGCTGCTCCTACCAGGGCAAAGTTGGGCCCTAAGGGCGTAATAAGGGGCGTGGGTACAGACTGTAAGTCTGTGCTTGGTGTAGGAGACAGAGTCACTTGAAAAGCGATAAAATTACTTTCATTGTGATAGAGGAATGCGCAGTTTTTCAATGACCTCTGAACCTGTCTAAGAGAGAATGCATCACCTTATGAAAGCTGGTTCTTGATGGTCACAAGGTCTCCAGTGACACGGCCAGGGACCAGCTGGGTCAGCAACTGAGACCGAGCCTTTCCAACGCCAAATTATTCTTCGTGCTTTTACATTCTTAGTCATTTGTAGAATTCCTGATCTGTCAACATGCTCGAATTCAGCAAGCTAAGGCACCAAACGTGATCGCGAGCACAAGCCGCCCAAATTTGACAGGCACGTATCAAAAGGTAATATCCCACGAGTCAATGAGACATGTGCCACCTGTATTGAGTGTGTAGTGTATTACTTCTCATGATTTCCAAACTTCTCTGCCAATACAACCACAAGCATCTACATAGTCGAGTCCAAGCGAAAAGTACTGTAGACTCAAGCACAAAGAATCTGCAGCATTCACAGGTAAGACAACACACATGTGTAAACACATATATAGCCTTGCTCCTGGTAGTAAGGCCAGGAGCCCCTAGTAGCTTCTTGTTCCTAGTAGCGATGCCAGGAGCCCCTAGTAGCGTCCTTGCTCCTACATATATTGGATGCACTGAGCACACTTCGGACCTTCGCCATTTTGAAGCTTTTGGCCACTTTCAATTCCAGGCGTGCTGAAGCCATGATCCCATCTGAGTTAATGACTGCAGTGGTGCTTTTGAAGCTCCTTTGAGCAGCCTTGAACCACTGCAGATTCACATACATCAACGAGAATTAGATATGATATATTGTTCCTTCAGTAGTTTCCACATTGCCAAACTGTCACCGAGCCTTGATGAAGCAAGTAATTTGGCAAGATCCCTAGATGTAGGCCGGAAGATCACGCGGGTTTCATGCTCATTCACTGCAGGGACAGTGTTGAAAGCTGCACATGCATTTGCAAAAGAGTGCAACCGGTTGCAGGATCTCTTTGCAGTTGCGAAAGCAAGCAGTGAATTCACTATGTTGTCGGTGCAGTGTTGTTGTTGGAAGACTGAAGACTGAAGACGAGTGTGAGAGCTGCCTGCTGCCTGCTTGAAATGGAGTGAAGGGTTCAGGGCCGGTGCACTTGCAATTGATCAGATGACAAAAACAGAAAGGGCCCAAGTCCACCTTCTTTTTAAATCTATATTTTTGTTTTTGTCAATTTATACTCTCATTATTGTAAGTATTTGCATTTTTTTAGCTATATTTATATATTTTTTCTGATTTCTGTTTATCTACCTCTTTGTGACTGTTCAACATTCTGAGGCCATTGCTGTAGATCCCAGGAACATGGAGGAGCCGAATTCTGAGGCCATCGGAGACAAGGATTCTCAAGGGTGCTTAATTTCATCTTTTTGATGCATTTGTTGCTGAAGAATGAGAAGGTGTCTGCAAAGTCTTAAAACATGGCCTTGGTCATCCATCACATTGGACACACTCTTTCTGTTTTAACGTTTGTGCCTGTACGGCGCTTCATCAGGTCTTGAAGGCCTTCAGGGTCTTCGAGGATCCTGAAATTATGGTGAGGTGCCAATCGTCTTTGCGCAACCTTGAGTTCCATGCTTTTGTGTGAGATGAACAATTCAAATCCTTTCTAAGGTAATACCGAACTTTTTGAATGATGATGAGATGCAGCATTTGCTCGACCTTGCAGATGTCATTGCCTTGGATACCTTCCGTGGTTTGGATGTGTGGCTTTGATTTAATTCTTGTGTTGCGCAGTGGCATGATCGTTGCGGACTGCTACTGTGCACTTGAAGACTGGTGATGCGCCAAGGCCTACTGGGTACCCTCTACAGTCGGTTCTGGTGTCTACAAGTACGCCGTGGCCGGGTTTGAGAGACATTCTAGATCATTCTAGAACATTGAGACTGTGAAGCTGAGAAATCGTTTTGTGCCTGATTTTGCGATCTACTTCTTGCTGCCAGGACAAATGACGAGTCCAAGGACTTGCAGAACAAACAATCCAAGACCCGCACATCCTACTCCTGCATGCTTAGGCTAGCAAGATTCCGCTCTCTTGGTGCAACGTTTTGCAGTATACAGTAGTGTTCTGATGCCGTGTTGACCAGAGGAAACCGGGTCACTAGCTTTCATTTTGTCCACCTCAAGTGCAACTTTTGTGGAGGTCTAGCCAGACGGAGACCGTACAGCGGATCGAACACAGGCAAGGCATGTTGACAAGAAGTACGCATGCTAGAGCGATGGGCAGCATCATCATCTTGGATTGGTTGAGCTTAAGCAGTCTAGCTATCAGCTTCAAGTCTTGAAGTCAGCATTGAGGAGGGACCTGAGGCAAACAAGACAGTACCTTTTACTTTTTTATCCACAGATCTTTTCGAACTGTTGTTTCTCTAGAACAAATTCGGATTCAGGAAAAAAGGGTCAGAACTACGGTTCACAAAACCATAATTAAGATTCAGAAACTATGATTCAGAAGCTAGTCTCCGAAACTACGTTTCAGAGGCAATGTTTCAGTGCAACCTGACAACACAAGGTGACATTCACAAAACAAACTCAGAAACAACATTCTTTTTGCGGTAAGTGGGGGTGGGTGGGGGTTTGGTGGGGGTGGGGTTCTGGAGCTTCTTTTGTTCGAAGTGTCCGTTTCACTGAATTCCCGAAGAAAGACCGGGTTGTGCGAAGAACTATTTACAGCCTGCGGCATGCCGCCGGCCACCAGCTCGAGCCCGCATTGGCAGGCAGCTTAATGATACAATACCCTGCTCAATCAGACTTGTTGGTGCATTGGAGGTGCACATTTGGCTGGGTGAGTTTGTTGATGTTTATTTCAAGGTTGTTTGACCATGAAATGGAACGAATCCGAATCAGAGGTTGTCTATTCTGATCCAGCGATCCGAACCGGCATGTCTCAGTCGAATCACCTAAGAGGAACCAAGTGAAACCAACACAAGCAATGCGAACCAAGAGTATCCACAAAACATGACCTTGAAAACGACTCTTCTTCCAAACTACTTGGCCGTGTGCCTGGTTTCCTTTTCAGATCTTTTTTCGACCGTCTCGAGGGATTGCGACACGCACCAGATATTCTTTTTCGCACACAGAAGGCTTCAAAGCGACCGAAGAATTTCTAGATCTGGCATGATTTGTCGTTTTTTTCTCCAAACCGTTTGGAACAACAATACCCTGCTCAATCAGACTTGTGGGTGCATTGGAGTTGCACATTTTGCTGGGAGAGTTTGTTGCTGTTGACTTCAAGCGAAGTCGTTTTACAATGAAATGGAACGAATCCGAATCAGAGGTTGTCTATTCTGATCCAGCGATCGACATGTCTGACGGCAGGCCGGCGGATTGGTAGAACTGGTGTGACTCTGTCAGTGAGAACTTAGGTCCGGTCTCCGAATCAGGGTGTGGTTTCCGCCTCATGGTTTCCGAATCCGTCCTTGACCTCTCCACCAGACTTTTTGGAAGCGAGGCTAGCCCACCTTGCAGGGCTTGAGGTGCCGTTAGCTTGGGAGTCGAGATGGCTGGGTTACCAAGTTTCGTCCAAGTTCAGGTTTCACGATCTGTTGTGTGATGGTGGGAAGATTCAGTGATGTCAATATTGCTATGTTGAACACACCATATACTGGCCAGACAAAAGTTGCGCATGTTGATGCAGGTGTGTGCGGTCGATCTTCATACAGAGAAGCCATTACCAGAAACTATATATATAGAGAGTAAGAATTGACTACGCACACAAACGGAGTTGTGATTTTGATCCTGTGAAACAGGCAAGAAACAAACATGAACAACTTTTTCCCTTCTCTGAAGCATCTATAAAGTGTAGCTGAACTGTTGTTGTGCATATGGAGGTGAAATACCTGGAGAGGCTGAACATGGTTCGCTACTCCCCAGGGCAGCTCTTCAACAGGCCCAACCTACAGCTTTAAGCAGCAACTCCATGTGGTAGTCATCCAATCTATTCCAGCCAACTCCACGAATGTTATGTTTGTTCTACTTCCAGGCAATCATCCATCCTTTTTCAGAACTCTTGATTTTGAAAAGATCAGCAGTGATTGTGTAGGGTGGGACCCAGTTCTGAAGGGTAGCGGACAGGCATCATGATGGGAGATTCAGACCGAAAACAGGCGGACTCAGAGGGAAGCTGATCAATCGGGGTGGGGGGAGGGTGGCATGTTCTTATAGTGTGCAGACTTTCAAGCACAGACAAATCTGCAGTGTCCTAGTCACTAGTCTACTCTTGGCGGCAATATTGATACATAGAGATTAGATTAGACAGTTAGCCTTCTTCTTACATACAAAAACATGACAGTCACTTGTCCAAATTTGGGCAGCCATCAAGTTTCATCAAATCATATGATGTATGCACACCGGAAGTGGCCCTGACTTCCTCACTTGCATTTGTCACATGGTAGCCCTGAAACATGAAGTGAAACATGAAGCCTTGGATCAAAAATCATCCCCGCTGCTGTTTAGCTTCGGTATCAATGGAGGGTTGGAGGGCGGTGCCTGTTGCCATGGGCAGGCAGGCTTCATTCTACATAAATGGCATAAACAGATGTTTGAGACATCACACACCATGTCCGAGTCATATGGGTCATCGTATGGACGTCTCTCTGCTTCTTTGAGGTAAAACCTCCAGACCATGGGGCACCTTCGTGTGCTCCTCTTCGTCAGAGCCCTCAGGAAGGTCCTTTTCACTAAGTTGTCCAAGCAAAGCTTCACAAAGCTTCGACTGTGGTGCTTCGAACGAGTGCTCAATATTTGTTGTCGATGTTTGGGATGCAGTTTTGTGTCGACGGCAGAAAGGAACGAGATGGTCATGGTTGCTCTAGACACAGCCACAGACCGTAGGTATGTGTCGCAACATGTTTGAAGGGACAATGATACTGTTGGGCACAAGGACGGACATGGATGTTGATGTTGAAAGATGAAATGGTGGCGGGTTGGCATATCAGGTCCTGGCCCCAGCAATCCTCGCCGCAGCCAAGGTTCGTCATGTAAAAGCATCTCAATCTTCATTTCGCACAGTATTGCAGGCAATGCGAAGACATGAACATATACCACTGTATGTTCTGCGAAACTATTGTAGAGGATCCGTTGGGCAATTGTAGGAAAAAACATGACACATTCTATTCCTAAGCCTATACCTAGTCATTTACAGTCTTTTGATCGACCGTGACCAAGGGCTTAGTTGCCAGCATTGATTCTGTGATAATGGAGCCAACTATCAAGAATCTCAAGTCTTTTTGTTGCCAGCTTGGTGGAAATGACACAGGTATGGACCTTTGGTGATCAGCGGTCGGCTTAGATGTCGGGCTACAGCTGCGTTGATCCAACAGCAACGGTTTTCAGTTGCTACGTTGTTGAAATTTCCTCCTACTGGTGGGAAATTCCTGCAGGGGCAGAAGCTGTATGACCTGTTGACAAAACTGTAGAAACCTCCATTTCCAAGCTGCTCAAAAGCGGATCTTGCATGGCAAACTGAAGGTCACTCCATGGCATCCGGCTGGGCTCCCAGATGCACCAGTTTTGCCGGCTTTGTTCGTTTGTTTGCTTGTTTGCATAAAACAACCCAATGTCTTCCCGTGACGAGCTCAGAGTGCTTTGCTTTTTCTCTTAATAAAACGTCTCATACAGCCTTCTGGCTTTGAGTACGTGTTGCACAAAGTTTTTCTCCTAGGCTACGAGATTTGGGGAAGGAAGGCTTACAAGCCAAAGAGATGGCCCTCAAAGAGGAGGCAGGTTTGCACTGGGCCGTGTGTAAGGCCTTTGCACTGGGCACTGGATGAGTAGTTTGTGCAGATTGGGCGACTGGAAGTGAATTTGGACAAGAGCAGAAAGGAGTTTGGGCCTCGTTTGGAACCTCATTGGACCTTTGAGACTTTCATTTGTATCGAGTCGTCAAGGAATGCGGCGAGCATTAAGAAGTTGAAGATGCAGCAGAGGGCTAAATCTATGGCTTTCACTTTTTTGGTGTCAAAGAGAAACACAGTGCAGCATTTTGTTGGATTGAAGAAGTCCGCAGCCGAGGCTGAACAAGACAGCGCAGCAGTTTCCAGACCCACCTCCACTTCAAAGCAAAGGCAGTTCTTTTCTTGAGCTGCTTGATAGGTTCACTGTGTATTGCCCAATCCCTATATAGAGCTCTATTGAATTCAAGGTGCGTGCTGATTCTTTAGATGATGTGCGCAGATGAAGAGAAGCTGAAAAAGCAGATTGGCATGACAGAGGCACTTGCAGCACGGAGTTCGGAGGACGTCTCCTGCCAGATAGACAGCTGGACAGCGGTATAGACTTAAATCTAATGTTTAACCTTAATTCTAATAGCTTCTTGTTACTACTAGTAAGGCACCTATTACTACTAGCGAGGCACTTGTTACTACTAAGTCACGCGGATTGTTGGTACAAAGGGGTGAACCGCGAGGCTCGACTAGCGGAAGCGTACCAGCAAATCTTGGCGCACAGTGACGTCGAGCGCCCAGTGCAATCTGTGAAACTCAAGGCGGCTTAAGATCCAACTGGAAGAATTTGCAAAGGTATGCTCTTTGGAACAGGTTTGCTTTAACATGACAAAATTGAGAGCACTTTGTAGTACGCACCAGCAGTGAGAGAGAAGTTGGCTCCAGCTGCAAAAAGCAGGTGGCTCAGCAGGCTCGCAATGAGTTGGAATTTATGGCAAGCCAAGCGGCCACTTGCTGTGAAGGCTGGATGTCAGAACGGAAAATTGCGGCAGATGCTGCCGTTGCTAACAAACATGGAATCACATGCCGCATGCTCACTTTTTGCGACGGAGAGGAAAGGCTGAAGATTCATGTCAGTAGAGTAGAGTGCCTTTTGTTTGCAAAGAAGAGCCTGCCATTCGGGCATTGCAGTAAAGGGAATATTGCTTTGTTGCTCTCCTCTTTTCCTAATTCTTCTGTGGTGCTAAGCTGAGAGGCACAGAGAAGGCAAAGGAGACCAAGGTCTCCTTGCTCGAGACCCGGGGGCATCCTCGGCATCTTTCCGAGGCAGGCACCACAGTCGAATAGGCGTACCTTGTCAAGCCAGATCGAGCATCATCACCTGTGGTTGTATGATGTTGTATAGGCATTTTGGGATGGACATCCATGGTACAAGAGGGAAGAAGACCACCGCAACAGTGCAAAATCCTACTGTAGGAAAAATGATGAAACATGTTTGTTGAGTTTTTGATCGTTGTTCAAAGGCCAAGAATGACTCTGAGACGTATCGTGAATCCTTGATGGGCGTTTTATCAGAACAAAACGCTTCCATGCCTCCCCACCGGCAGGAAGAGATTGCCGCCATGGTGAACGACCTGACAGGACAATGCAAAGTAGCGCAACAGTCGACAGAAGGATCTATTAGAGCATATGTGGATCTGCAGCACGTCTGAACTGTGTCCTTGCAGCCTCATCTTGCTTAAGTTTCCCTAAAAATCTAGGAACCAAGTTACTAGCGCGATCTATCCTGCTTCCTACCTAGAAGCTAACTTAGAATTGTAGCTTGCTCACTTACTTACATAATTAAGTAGGCGCCTACCTTAATTAAGTAGGAGAAAAAAGAAAACAACATCCTTATTATCATTTCCTCTTTTGACATTCTTTTGAGTATGATCGTCAGGCCTCACGTCCGATGCTGTCCACCAGGTGAATGCTGCACCTGAAGGCAGTGAAACTCTGTGTGGCCACTGACAGTCTATGCAACTGACAGATCCTTCGGTGGCCCTTAACAAATACTACTATGTTTGTTCCTAGTAGCGTCCTTGCTCCTAGTAGCGATGCCAGGAGCCCCTAGTA